TGAACTACATGCAGAAAATAATCAAGGTAAAAAAAAAGTCAAACTCACTTAATTAAGAGAGAACTGATAGTCTATTCTGAACTAATCTTAAATGTAATGATAGAATTAGAGGTTTTGCAAATAAGCAAACAAAGCAATGTTCAACAAATATATGCAGCCTCACTTTGATCTTCCTTGTTACTAGTCTTCTTTGGGTGTGTGCATTGTAGCATGCTTATTCTGTACTAAATGGCTAAAATCCCCTTTCTGAGTCTGGATAACCTAACTCAGGATGATCTTTTCTAGTCCCATCCATTTGCTGGCAAATTTCATAATTTTTTTGTTTTTAATACCTGAGTAGTATTCCATTGTGTAAATGTGCCACAGTTTCTTTATCCATTCTCCAGTTGAGGGACATCTAGGTCATTTCCAGATTCTGGCTATTATGAATAAGCTGCTATGGGCACAGCTGAGCAAGTGTCTTTGTTGAATGGAGGGGTGTCTTATTGCTTCTTACTGGTGAGTGGAAAGAAAGTCATAGGAATGATATGAAAGTATTTTAACAGTTATAATAAGAACAGACATAAAGAATTAATGTGCAGAAAGACAAATGGGATGTGCATTGAACGTATGACAGGAGTCTACCACAAAAGGCATCTGAAAGATTCTACCTGGCAGTGTTTCAAAGCAGACACTAAGACTCATAACCAAACCCTCGGCAGAGTGCAGGGAATCATATGAAAGAAGGGAAGTTAGTATGATATGGAAAGGATAGGAGCTCTACAAGGACCAAATATATCCGGGCACAGGGTCTTTTCTGAGACTGACACTCAACCAAGGACCATCTATGGATATAACCTAGAACTTCTGCTCAGATGTGGCCCGTGGTAGCTCAGTAATCAAGTAGTTTTCCAAAGTAAGGGAAACACGGACTATTTCTAACAGGATCTCAAGGGCAGGCTGTTTGACCCCCTGCCCCAGGGGAGGAGCAGTCTGTTAGGCCACAGAGGAGGACTTTGCAGCCAGCCCTAAAGATACCTGATAAAACAGGGTCAAATGAAAGGGGAGGAGGTCCTCCCTTATCAGTATCCCCTATTTAGTTTCTTTTGGAAAGGGGCAGGGAGGAGACCAGGGAGGGAGTGTGGGGTTGGGGAGGGAATGAGGGAGCAGGATACAGCTGGGACACAGAGTTAACAAAATGTAACTAAAAAGAAAAATAAAATTAAAAAAAAAGAATTAATGTGCTATCTTTAAAATACAATTTTGCTCATTTTTTAACCACAGTCATGAGTTAATTTGATAAAAGTATTATAAAATGAATATTTATTTGCCTCTCATAATGAAAATAGCACTATTTTAAAAAAAAGTAGGAAGCAAGGAGTCTTGGGGAAGTTTTCCCTAACATCTTAGCCTTATTTGCCACGTTTCTAAATTGAATTTAATGAACCAAACTAAGAAGTCACAATCACAAATGAATTCATGGGCGAGGGGTATGTGGTGAAGAGGGAGGGAGTTGGTGTTTACTGGTGACAATAAAAACGTATTGTTACGTCTTTATTTTTATGAGTGTACTTTTTTGATTATGTGATATTTCTATAAACTAAAGGCCACTCACTCTATATCCAAATGTTATGTACAGCATGAAGGCTTTTCTGGAGCCTTTGGGATAGATAGGGTGTTCTCCCAAGTCCCTGATCCTGCAGATAGTCTCAGACTCTGCGTTCTTGATGCAGTCTTATTTTTCTTTGCTTAACTCACACGAAGCTTCAAAGTTAGGTTGCCCAGATGAATTAAAGTAAACCCAGATTGTAATCACAGAGTGGAAGTTATCTGTATTTATTAATCTTTCTAGAGATTTCTGACTTGATTATATGCTGATAGATTTGCCCCCAATAGTAAAGCTTCCATATCAATATCCAGCTCAGAATAGAGAGAGAGAGAAAAAAAAAGGTTAGACCTACTTTGTTTTAGTTATGCGTCAAAGATTATTGTGAATAGCTAACAAGTTTGGGTTAGTATAGAACCTTGGGCCAAGTTAGGTCTGGGCTTGAGCTAAGTTAACACTGCTAAAGGATTCCAGGGTTTTGGAGAACCATAGTGCAAACTAATTAATATGCCTGTTCTTTCCTACAGCTTAGTGAATGAGAACAGAAGTTTAAATAAAGTCGATCCCTTTATTACTTGTACTCATGCCACTGAAATTGGCTTAATAATATTATATTTCCTGACTCCTATCAAGTTTCTGTAACTGTGCTTTTAGTTTCTTTTGGTTTTTGAGAATAAAGATTTTAATTTTTTATGTTTGTATCACCAGTATACAACAGTCTAATATACAATAAGGACTTCAATACATAAGTTTATAATACATAATTTAAACATCTTTGAATGAGTCAATGAATTAATGAACAAATGAGGAAGAAATTGCCTCTAGATCAAATTCAACAACTGCAAAAGAATTGACTATAAATCTAAAGGTTCTACTACAATATCTGAAGAATGGCTATTAACCAAAGAAAAGCCAGTAGCTTAGACATATAAACATAAGATATGGAAATATTTATGAAACCTTTAAGTCATATCTCTATGTTCATATGGTTTGCTTTTTCCCTATTTAATATAAGCTCATGCTCTGGAAATTTGAAATTTGATATTATGTAATATAGATGCTGTTTAAATTGTAGGAAAAATACTTACTTAGGAAAAACTGTGCCTGGTGAGCTAATACATATCTGCAATCCCAGCACTCAAGAAGGTGAGGCAGGACTATCTTGATTTTTGAGTCCAGCCTATGCTATATAGCCTGATGCAAAATGGAGAGAAAGGGAGTGAGGAGAGAGAACAGAGAATGAAGTTAAAGAGAGAAAGAGTAGGAATGAAAAGGCTTGGAAGGACGAGAAAGAGGAGGAGGTGATGGAGGATGAGGAGGAAGAAGATTAAGAGGAGAAGGGGGGCAGTAGAAAAAAGCAGATAAGCTGTTTGGCTCCCACCTGTAAACTTGCATCTAACTTCTCTGGCCTGTGGTTCTATTACTAACTGCCCTTTCAAAGCCTCTGCTGTCTTGTGCATTTATCACACATGGCCCTCATCAAGTGGTTAGTCATGGGAAAGCAAGCACTTCTACTGTATCCCATGGAAGAAATGAATGAGAGGTTACTTCACATTAGATAGTTAAAACATGTTGATATAGTCTCCATGAAACGATTCTTTTATTAAGGTGTATTGTTTAGTTTTTCTTAAATGAGCACTGTCCTACAAAGGAATGATTTCTCAAGTGATCTGATTTGACAAATGGAAGACTGGAGCTGTATACAGTGACACTTGTGGAGACCTGTCACCTGACTGCATTAACATACCTTTCTTTTGTTAGTGCCAATCATATGTCAGGTCCTGTGATAAGCTACAAGGACAGCATCTGTGACCAATGTAGAAGCTCAGGAAATCCAATGAGAAAACTATCAGCAGAGCTGTAAGAAAACAAAGCAGAGATAAGCTACAATTATACCAAACATTAAATTTAAGCTACAATTGTACCAAAAACAGGCCATTTATAGTTAAGATATTTAGTATAATGACAGAAACCGTAATGTGGAAAAGGGACCTCTGTGGAGGAAAGAGGATAAGGGTGGTGATAAAAGATTGGTGGAGTAATAGCAATAATAATGCACTACACACATGTCTGGCATTATGAAAGGAAAAAACTTGAAAAAGCAAATGTGGTAAACTGTATTTTAAGGAGGAGTGGTGAGGGCTGACAGGTGTGGGAGGGTGATAAGACAGCATGGAGTGCGAGAGGATAAGAATGTATTATTTGTGTATAAGCAATTTTGAAAGGGAAATTTAATCAATAAAAATATCTTTTAGTAACTCCAGGAAAAAGAGAAAAGTACTGCATCCAGTATCATTATAAAATTTTATATCCACAGCATAATATTTTTAGCTAGATAAAATAATGTAGTATCCATATACTTACCCTCAGGAAAAGAGATATCAATCCCCACAGTACAACATTAAAGGCAGTGTACAGAAAAATATGTATACATGCTACCACTTATGGGATAACATCTATATGTTAAGTTATGAATGCAATTGATAAAGTCTTGGAGAAATAAAAACCTAGAATATTGTTTCTCACTTTTAATCACAGCAAATTCTGTCTGAAAAAAAAAATACTGTATGTCTAGGGACAGAAGAGAGAGTTGTTTTCGTTTCATTGTCTTTTAATTTTTTCTTTGTGACCTTGAGTCCAGAAATATTAATATAAAAAGGCCCAATAATTGAGATGCTCCCAAACTCCAAAATCCTGTGATAGGAGTTGAATTAGAATAAAATAAATGGGTAAAAGGAATATAGAAGGATGTGCCATGTTGAATGAAATACAAAATTATATCAACTTTTATCAAATGTTAAGGTTGACATGCTTCGGGGAGACTCTTGAGTGTTCAATTGGATTTAGATTCAAAAGCCATAAGCATCCATCTCACAGAGATTGACTCCAGACTGAATGCCCAGTTTTAAACCCTGTTTCAGCTGCCTAGTTGCTGTGAAACAGTAGAAAAGCTAATGCATTTTTTCTATGCCTGGATCCCTCATAAAAATAGTACATATCTCAGTGGGCAATGATAAGGATCAGTATTTGCAACACACTGAAAAAAGATATTGTATTGGTCTTAAAGAATCCTAGTGGCACTTGAAACGTTGGAAATGATGTCAGGAACTTAACAAGGAGTCTGACATCTGATAAATATATAACCAATAAATTAGATAAGCTTGTTCTATTTTCAAAATGTGTACTGTAGCTCCAGCCTCTGTGAAGTTTTGTGGGGAGGTTTGTGTCCCAATATTCAAGGATTTAAAAAAAAATGGTTGTGGACAGTTAAGAACATGTTTACGCTCGTTTCTGAGTGTGTTCCCCAGTTGTAAATCTGATGAGCTCTTTCTAATTGTTCAGGAACTTGCGAATGGGGCTGTGGAAAGCAGCTGGGTAATACTTCAAAGTTAATCCTTAACCTATTTCTCCACAGGCTCTCTGACTCTGAGAACACATCACGTTCAAGATTCCAAAATGGGATTTGTGATCAATGCAATCTACTCGATGGCGTATGGGCTCCACAACATGCAGATGTCCCTGTGCCCAGGGTACGCAGGCCTCTGTGACGCCATGAAACCAATTGATGGGCGGAAACTTTTGGACTCCCTGATGAAAACCAATTTTACTGGAGTTTCTGGAGATATGATCCTATTTGATGAAAACGGAGACTCTCCAGGAAGGTATCGTTACAATCCTTATTGCTGGCAGTAACGCCTGAATAGTCACTTCTTATCCTGACGGTCTTTCCTTTTTGGTTACTCGGGTTTCTAGGACAGGTTTGGCTAAAGCACATATTCCAAAATGACCCGATACAAATAGCCTCATTTCCCTGCGGCGAAGGAAGAACACCGATGTTAGTACTTAGTATGTAGCTCTGAGTTCATCAGCACATTTCAGAGGCATAAACGTAAACACAGGAGCCTCAATTCATTATAGACAAAGAAAACACCCTTTGCGTCTCTCAGCGCATGCTGATCAGGTTATTATCAGTCCTTGGTTATTTCTTATCACAACACTATTCTCAGACAGGAGCAGTTCTGTTTCTGGTAGTCCCGAACTATGATGGCCATCCTTCTATTCTGTTCACTCTACCTGCTGGTGAGTCATTACATACTCACATACATTTATTTTGTCACCCTGTAACAGAAGCACTTCCATCCTTGTTGAGATAACAAACTGCCTTTCACTCCAAATTTTCTATTATTTTTGCGGCGGTGACTGAAAAATATGGAACTTGTTCATAATTGTAAGCTAGTCTTTAGAGAAATCACTAGGTAATGAAAATTTACCAGAATTCAACCCTATCTCCTATTTCAAAGACTTAAATTCTGCTAAACAATACATTTTGAACACACAAGGGATAATTCATTGAATTGAGAAGTGAGTGATGCCAGAGCAAGGTAACTCCTCTGCCTTACAAACAAACAAATAATCCAAAGGATTCTTTGGCTCTGTGTTCTTCTCCCCGCAGCAGTTTATGCCCAGACACTGTTTGCAGCCAGCCCTGCTGAGAAAATGATATGTGAGTCTCCCCTCATCCTCCCTGCACCATGCAACACGTGTGGCCACACCTTCTGCCAGCAGCTTTGGTTTAGCACATTTCCGCATCCTGGAAGAAGCTGGAGCTGGCCCTGGATACAGCTCTTGGCGTTGCACAAGCAACACTGCCAAGTTGCAGGCAGCTAGCTCCAGGTCACATGGCCAAGTGTAAACTCGGGTATTTCCTATATTGTAGAGACTTCAGGGGTTTTAGACTAGCCCAGGCATTTGCAAACTTAACTGACCTTTAATTATTTTCTACTTTTGCAATCTTCTGCATGTCCATAGTGGGGGAATAGAGATTATTAGTAGCAAAGGAAAATTTACATGTGCTGTATGGCTCAGTACTAAGTCTAAACTCTGATTCCTGGGTTTGGATTTATTGTTCTTGTGTAAATAACTACAGCACCGTTGTTACCCTGGACCCTGTTAATAGATTGCTGATGGGAGTATCACCAGCTCAAGAGCTTTCTTGTCATGTGGCCAAGCCAGATCCACAAACACAATGAGAAGGAAATGTCTCTGTTGGCTCAGCTCCAACCTACTGTGAAACATTATTAAATTAGGCAAAACATTTCTGCTTCATTCACAGTCCTCCTAAAAGTTAGATGTACTTTGGGGCTACTGCTTCTTCACCCATTTTCAAATCTCTTCAAGACTTGTGAAATTCTAAGTACTTCTTCAATAATAGCATGCATATTACTTTGCAAACAACTTTGCGAAGTGGTGTTCACTTGGGGTCTATCCATGCACTACTAAATTTAGGTATTAAATTAAAACATTAATAATTAGCAGTATTACTTTGCAACTTTTTCTTTTGCCAGTGCATCTAGTTTATATGTACAGTGTTTGTACCGAACTCATTGACAAATTATAATACAAATATGTATATAAAATTTGCATGCAACCAAGTCGGGCAACACAATGAGACCCCATCTGTAAAAGTAGAAAATACAGCTAACGTTTAGTGAGTTTGTGTGGTTCAGAAAACACACTAAGCTAAATGATCATTTTTTGAAATCATAAGCAGTAAGCAATATTTTACTTTTCCCGTCTAGCTATAGGAAACGAGGCATACAAAAGGATAAATCGGGGTTAGAGTGATGTCCTAGTGGTACGGAACTTAAGCTAAGGTGAGGAACTGACGTCATATTTCTAACACCCACATAAAGCTTAGCAAGGGAAGATGTATCGATAACTATAACAATTCTACTGTGAGAAGTAAAGGGAGAACCTGGGGAAAACCCTGGGCCAGCCAACACGAAACACACACATGAAAATGACTGACTCACCCAAAGCCATAGTCTAGAAAATGAGTGCTAAGGTTTTCAGTGTCTCAGGCTTCACCACCTCACCACGTCCATCACCCCTACAAAACCACCAGATCAATGTAAAAGAACATATTTTCTGAGAAATGTATTTGCAGGAATTATTAGGTTTTGTGAGGTGAAAAGTTTCTTCTACACTAGATTAAAGGGATTCCCAGCTGAGAAAGAAACAAGAGGAGACGGAGTTAGTGAAGGTTACTGCTAAATCAGGACCATCCTAGAGGAGCCTTGACAAATAAAGGAAGACATTGGTGTATTAATAATGGTTCTCAGTGCTGTGGTTACATACCTGAGAGAAACAACTTACGGGGGAGAGATTGATTTCAACTCTTGATTTGAGGGTTTGGTCCACCATGGTAGGGAATGCATGGTGCAGGAACCAGCTTGCAGCCAAAGAAACGCCAAGCTCCACCTGGACCACAGCTGTAAATGGCCTATGTTTAGCCACTTGGCTGAATCTAAGAAAGTGTGTCCCAGGGGCACAGCTTGGTTACAATACCCGAGAGCCTCTCTTTGTTCAGGCACCCTCTTATTAACAAAAGTTTCAAAAAATGAGTTTCCATTTCTAATTTCTGGTGCTGTCATTATTATATCCTGGTGCTGCTAATGGTTGAGACCCTATGTATAAGGTACCTTTTCTAGTGCAAAGTCTTTGATTTTCTTTAGTGGACCGTAAACCATATAAGTTAGGCACTTTGTCCACCATGCCTGCAACTTTAACTCTACTTGCATGTTTTTTCTTACCAAACTACACAGTTTTCGTAGCTTTCTGATCACTTTTCCTGTAAATACAATTAGAAACAAAGACTAATGAGCACACAGCTTTAATGTACAGGATCTTCTCAGACAGAATTCTGGCAATTTGGTAGAATCCCTCATCACTCCAGGTTTTTCCTTCCTGACTCCAAACAAATGAGTTCATTACTTTAGAATTCACCCTAATTCAATTATGCAGAACACAGCCTGATTCTTTGCCAGCACTTAACTCAGATGACTAGTATCCCAAGCCTGGACAACCTCGTTCTCCTTTTAAAACCTAATTATCATAGCTTTATTAACCACATTTCTGTTTGCACCATGACCTTCCAAAACCCCTCCAGAATTTTTGTTGTCTTCTTTGCTTACAGGACTCTCTGTGTCCTCTTCTACACAGAGCCCAATCTTTCCACATTTCTCTCGGAAACCATCTCCAAATGCTTAAGAACCAGGTCAGGTAGTCATGGCAATGATGCCACCTCTCAGTATCGATTTTCTGTGTAACTGAGCTTTCTGATCACTCTGACAAAATACTTGACAAAGAAACTTAAAAGAAAAAAATAATTTATTTTGGCTCATACTTTGAGTGTGCAATCCATTATGGTTGACAGAGCAGGGTAGTCTTAATATCTCACAGTTGTGGTTACAGGGATATAATTTCTCTTGCTCATGGAACATATGGAGAAAGAGACACGGGTTCAGTATGAGAACCTCAAGCCTGCTTCCCTGATAACCCTAGACCACAGCTAGTTCTCACCTCCTAGAGGTTCCACAATTTCCCAAAACACCTCCACCACCCGGGACCAAGAGATCAAACTCATAAGCATATGGGACATTTTACATTTAAACCATAAAATAAGAAAATAAATTCTGACTCATCCTTTAAGATTTTTAAAGAAAACTCTTTGGCTATTGTGTTTAAACCTTATTTTTATGAGAATTTTATTCAACTCTAACACTTTAATTTTGGAAATGGATCTAGCTGTGCCATAAACTTCAGAATATTTGACTGTACAATAGTTTACATTAATATTGTCTCCATGTACAACAGCAATTCTTAATTAACACATTAACATTTCTGTACCAGAACATATAAACATTCACACTCTGCTCTACTAATGGACTATAAATAACTTCATAACCGTCAGGTTTTATCCTGAGATAAATATAGATGTATTTATGTTTTGCTACCTAATGAGTTGTAGAAAATATTATGGTTTTCAGAGTTTTGTGTATTTCAAAATTGCCCATAAGAAGTGTGAACCATTATTAGGACACTGGTCGGAAAAATAGGGTTGGCAAGGCAAGTCGTGTCTACAGTAATGAAGTTTTAGAGTACATAGTAACATTCGAGTAATATACCATTGTCTGTGCACATACCGTATTAACAGAACTGAGTGGTTAGAGACCATTTCAAAGGATAAAACATTCGCTGTCTAGTTTGAACGCCAAAAATTGACTGGGAAACTTTATCAGAAAGCTGATCTTAAGGTCTTCCTGCTGCCTGTATTGATTGAAGTGGACAGAAAAGATTGAGAACATGTGCTAAACTAAATACAACTTACTATTTAAAATAAAATTAAACAGTATACAGTGGGATGAATGGGTATAAGAATGTAAGATATTGGAAAATAATCATAATAAATAAGGAAAGGCAATGAAATTATACTAGGGAAGTGTTCTTATACTTTATATTACGTGACTAAATATTGACTTTAAGTAGAATAAAAGTCATTCTGTTGTCCCTTAAGCAACTACTGAGAATCTTAAAATAAAAAGGAAGATATATAAAGCCAAAAAAGGGGGAGGTTGTTTAGGGAAGATTCACCTGAAATAAGACAAGAAAACTAGAAATGGAAGGAAATGAACACATGGAACAAGTAAAACACAACAACAACAACAACAAAAACAAAACAACAAGCAATAGAGGCTGCAGAAAGTAGTATTACCTAAATAGTTCTTAATACATGGCTATTTTTTTGGCTAACGGCCCTTGAAAATGTACTATATAAATACTGTTATTTTCCTGGATAATAATAATCTGAATCTTAGTAAAGACATAATCTTTAGGTTGCATAATCACTAATCTATTTTTTATATTACAATTGAAATAGTTTAATCTGTATAGCAAGAGTTCGATCTTTCATAATACTGTATTAAGTTTTTAGTCAGTCTCACTTGCTGGTCTCCCTTAAGATCATGTGTTCAAGGGCAGGAGAGAGATGACTCAGCAGTAACAAGTGCTGCTTTTCCACAGGACCTGGGTTTGATTCCCAGCTCCCATCTGTAACTCTGCCCACCAGGGGATCTCACACACTCTTCTGACTTCTGTGGCAGCAGGCAGACATGCAGTGCATAGACAGACAAGGAGGACACAACATCCTTATGTAAGGTTTTAAAAAACGCTGCTCTGCCTTTTGAACCATAGCTGAAAGTAACTAGTGTGACACTCCATTGCTAATTTTGTATACATTTAATAATCATATACACATTAAGAAACTTTCCTCGCTACAGTTTTACCCTCAAGCGATTGTTCATTTGCCAGTAATATCTGGAAAGCCCTTTCTATGGATGCTTGCTGTAAGTTGCAGAGTTCTATACACTAGGAAATGCCTATATTTCAAGAACAGACCCACTCTGGTTTCTATTCAGGTTATAAATGGAACTTTATTTTAGCTTTTTTTCTTTGTTTTTGAATATATAAAATTGATTTAAATTTTTCTTAAGGATACTTCCTGTAGACAGTTGGAAAGAGACAGCTGTGAAGGAAGTTTTTGTACAGAATGATACAGAATTCAAGAGGCTGGAGTTGGAGAAAGGTGGATGGAGGAGGGAATGGGAAATGGGGAGAAAAAGAGAAATAAGGCTGGCAGCAATAAAATCTCTCTGTCAGGGTCTTATAACTAGCATGGCACTTAAATAAATGTTTTGTAACTCAGATCTTCACCAAATCCATAAAAAAGACATACTGAATGCTTATTGCTCCTTTCAGAAAATGAAATATCTCCTAGATTAAGTAATGGGTAAACACTACAGGAAGAAAGTAAATTTTCAATTTTTACCTAAAATTTCAGTAAGTTTACTTTTGAAAAACTCACGTTTTTCACTTCTGAGGAAGAATGAAATATACATTCCCTTTGTGAATGTTGTTTAGAAGTCTCATTTCTATTCCTTAAAAAAAAAAGGAGGGAGAATCTTTTCAAGGAAAATTATTTAATCCATCTCAACTTTTGCTTAATGCACAGCTACTGGAAGTTGCATGTACAGATAAACAGTCCTGATAGGATGTTTGTTGTTGTGGTTGTTGTTTTACAAATGTATGTAAAAATTCAAAAGGCTAATTTCAAGGGGGAGACTCACAGTCTGTGAATTAACAGTTTGAGGAATTAAACAAAAATTTAAAAAAAAAATGCTTCTTTAAGCCACTTTTTGTCAAAATGGTTCGTGTCATTCTCTAAAGATTTTATTTTTATTATTTAAACCCTTTGTCTACTTACCCTTTAGAGTCTCTGTTATAGAAAACTAAGGTTATTAGACATAGATCATGACTAGTCTAAAGAGCAGAAGGAATAGTAAAAAGTATAAAGGCTTGCTAAGGGTGCTGGTTCTGATATCTGTCTTCTTTGCAATCTACAAATAATTAATCTCAATGAGTTTTGTTTCCATTATCTAAAAAAATAATAGCTTATTCTAGACAGTTTGGAGATTGAAAACATGAATAAATTGTATTATGGCTCATTTTACTGAGCAAATGGAGTCCTTATATCTTTTCAAATCAGTGAAGAAAGAAGTCTCCAGAAACTGACATTTCTTTCACTCTATGAAGTTTAAAGGTTATTTGTTTGCAAAAAAAAGTCATGTTTTAAGACTTAGAATTTCGTGTGTTTGCAGTAGGCAGTGATATAACACATAAATTATTTTTCCTTCACTCTTCTCTGTTCTAATGCCTCAATCACTGCATGTTTAGCAACCGCAGGTTACTCTGACAGCATGGGAGAGGCATCCCTAGAATCTTTATTAGGAAGGGAATTTAGAAAGTTACTCAAAGTAAATTGATGGCAAATAAAAAGCAGTTCAAGAGACACCAAAGTTACTGACCACCAACAAAGTATTAGGATAGATCAATTATGAAAATATAAGTGTAAATTCTAATCAGCAGCAAATAGAGAATGGAATCATTTGACAACACCATTTCAGCAGGTTGAAATAAAATTCATTCTTTACGTTTTTACATAGTCAACCCATATGCCAATTTCATAGACATAATTATAAATGTAAGAATGGCTTCATCTGTATCCATTTTCAAATAGCTAAACATGTTGAGCATTGGAAATTAGAGAGAACATTCATGAATACCTCTGTCAGTATTGAAACTTTGGGAAAGTAGAAAGTATAATGTAGGACATGAGGGACTCCCATACAATCTATAGAAATGTTCATGGCTGTGGGGTGTTTCACTGAATGTCTCTCTTCGGAAAACTGTTTTATACATATCTGGAAAAAGAAGAAGAGGCTTGCCAACAAGTCTTTCAGATATCACCTTATTTTTTTGGTCCCTAGATTCAAAATAATAATGATGGCTAAGAAAAACTGAGAATTAATGGCACACATATACTTTGCAATATTTTTTCAACTGAGATAATTTGAAAACTATTTTTAGTATTTTATAAAACACTTCTCAAATAATGTTTATGCAATGTCTTTAGCCACTGATAAGTGATGAAATGAGGGCAAAATTAGACCTGCCCTTTTTCTATTTTGAAATTTATTCTGTTTAATTCAAAAAATTTCTACAGCTTCAGTTTAAAATGAAATAAAAATGATAAAACAAAGAGGTTTTTTAAAAATACAGGCTCTTCCAGCCTTCCAAAGAAAGGCTCTTTAGTTGTGTACACCAAGGAAAAAAATAAGAGAAAATATGAATGCATATCGCCATGTTTCATAAAATGAAATTTTATGTGATTGAAGAATTCTTGCGAAATTGCCCTTGTGTTTCCGAACACCCAAAAATGAATTCAAAGAATAATCAAATTCCCAGTGAATAAGAAAATCCTTTAGCATGTCACTAGAACATAGTTAGATACCTCTTGTCCTGAAAGAGCAGCAGAAGTTCATGTTTAAAATTCCTGAAGCTATTTCAAAACTGTTTTGCATCCTTCCTGAGATTCCGTCACTTTCTCACATAGGACTGTTTTCTATTTCAGGTATGAGCATGAATCTAAAAACAGGTCTCTGAAGTAAAAATGAAACAGGCAGAATTATGTTATTGTAAACATACCATTGAAGAATTCCAGTGTGGTTTACACAGTAGGAAATGTATTTGGAGCAATGAAACTATTTTCTTTGCATATATAAGTATTTATGGCCTTAGCTGAATAATTATTATATTCTTGTTTCTAAGGTATGAAATAATGAATTTCAAGGAAATGGGAAAAGATTATTTTGATTACATCAATGTTGGAAGTTGGGACAATGGGGAATTAAAAATGGATGATGATGAAGTATGGTCCAAGAAAAATCACATCATCAGATCTGTGTGCAGTGAACCATGTGAGAAGGGCCAGATAAAGGTAAAATAAAATCCACATTTCTTTAATTATTTCAAATTTAGCAGTGCTAATTGTCATTGGAAATGTCTTTTTTTTAATTTGGAACTTGATTTGCTTTTTACATTTTAAGGTTATAATTGAAAAAAGTGAGTCTTTTTTTTTTTTAACTGTATTCTGATCAATGCGTTAGGAAGGCTAGCATTCAATCCACAGGAGTCTGAGTAATTGCTGAGCTCATTGATACAACCGAGAAATCATGTTTAGACCTGCTCACACTTTTAAATAGATATGGATCTATTTAAAGTTAATGATCCCTGAGAATGAGTAGGTTATAGCTGGAAACATATTTAAGAAATAGCTATCAAAAATATCAATGTAATAGTACATTAACACCAATGGGATAGCCAGTCTTGGTGGCAAATGCCTGTAATCTCAGCACTCAGGGATGCAGAAGCAGAAGAATCTCTTTGGGTTCGAGGCCAATCGGGTTTCCAACACGAGTCCAGGATAGTCAAAGGTACACAAAGGAATCCTGTCTCATATTTATATGCATTCCGGGGAAAATGGATACCTGGGAGATGGCACATCAATAAAGCTTTCTAGCAGAACAGCTGACTAACTTTGTTCAATTCCCTGGATTCACATTTGGAAGTAAGGACTAACTCTTGTAATTTATGATGTATGCATAAGTATACAAACCTACACACACACACAAAAGAAAATGGTTTCAGAGGAAGGAAGATGGGTCAGTTTCAATATTTGTTGTTTTTGATATAACAGGCCAATGGTAATTGGTTTAGCAAATGGAGGAAAAAAACTAAGGTCAAAGATACAGATTTAGGAATAAACTAGTTAGAGCTTAAATTGATACTATTTGGATACATTCAAAATGGTCAACCTAAAAGTTTAAATAGAAAATAATAGCAAGGAATAGAGGTTGAGCAGAACAAATTCAGAGAAGGACACACCAGTTAAATGCTGTCAGCCAACATGGTGGTCAGCAGAAGACAAGCCAGAGAAGAGGTGAAAAGTAGGAAAGACATGAAAACCCATTAGCATCTTCTCTAGTTCTTCTGGAACAGAAGGCAACAAAATGGATGGAATACAGTGATACAGAGTATATGAGGAAAAGCAAGTAAGAGATTGTTTGCTACTCCAAGGACACAAGTTTTAAGTTAAGCATGGTTTGCCCTGAAATGAAAACGCCAATGAAAAAGAAATAAAAACATAGTTAAGAAAGCAGAGAGATCTAGTTGTTGAAGAATGATGTCTTGGGAGAAGGAAAATGGTATTGAAATAATTTAATTGCTCACCAAATAAGCATTACTAGTTCAGGTATGCAGCATACTTGAAACAGTTTCCTTGGATCTTTTCAACCAACCATCACCTTTACTGAAACTTACAACACTTTTCAGATGTTGGAGGCAAGCTAAACTATTTTAATATCAATATTAAGGTTCTCAGCCAGGGGACGAAGAAAGTTTGGAAAACTAAGACTAGACATAAGAAAAGCAAGACCAACAAAAATAAGAATAATTTTAACACCTGACAAATGGCTTAACAGCTTGTGGAATTCCTGAAAATATCTGTGACTCCTGTTGTGACGTATGAAAGAAGTTAAAATTACGGCCTGCAAGCTAACTCTGACCTACTGCAAGCTAAATCTGACCTACTGCCTGTTTTCATATACAACCACACTTAAATTTCCATCTTTGATGTGCTGTCTGTACATACGCATGTGTTTTATCAGCACAGTTAGGTAGGTTAGATATGACAACAACTACATCCTCCAGACCTTAAATACATGCTATCGGACAGAAAAGTTTCTGAAACCTTGGCACACGGTAACAGAAACATGATTCATCTCGGCAAGTCAACCTGTAACTGAGATCATCATGTAGAAGCCTTTGTGGATTCATCGAGGGTATCAAGTATTCCTAATTGTGCTACCTATAGAAACATATGATTTAGCAACAGTAAGAATTTTGTCAATTCATGACATTCAGTTTGAACACATACTTTCAAAATCTTTGAATAGCAGAGTAGAGATATTTCTTGGCATGCATCTTCTTCTACCTTATTGTATAGAACTTACATAATGGTAGAGTTTAATGCCCTACACCGTAGTCTTAACATTGGTTATATACTTACATTTGCTTGCTCATTTTTTAATAGTTTTTCATGTAATTCTCATTTTCACTCTGCTCGGTATATATGTTTTTTCTTAATATGACTCAAAGTTGAAATTGAGCACCTTCATTCATAGCAACCTCTCCTGACATTGTCCAGAGATTTATGAACTCAGTTTCCATGGAGGACTGGCATCTTTTCAGTGGCAGTGAAAGCACCTTTACTTCCAAAGTGTTCATAGTTGGAACTACTAAGATAATGCATTGCCACTTGTAATAAGTAATGAATGTGAATCAAAACAGATCATGCAAAAAAGTTAAAACAACTTGGCCTTGAATGATCAAAGAAAATATATCAAAGTGCTGTGATTTGAAGAGACTATTATATGGGAATTGTTCTTGGAAAAGAGAATACATTTAGATTGGCAAAATATTTACATTCATAATAAATAGAAAATGAATAACAGATTTGTGAGCATATTTCAAGAGTGAAAATTCAGTATCTTGAATTTCTCAATCTTTGTAAAGATCTGGAAAGAGTGTCTAGGTATTTTAAGTAAGCCTGCTTTTAATACATAATCTAACAATTGTCTAAGAGTAGTTCAGATTTCACTGAAAATGAAATTCTCCCTTTCTAGGTGTGTTTATAGATATTTATTAATACAGATAGGACAAATTTTAGAGCCTTACATTTTTTCAGTTGCTGATCACTTACACCAAAGAAACTCTATAAAATAAAAAGTTTGTTTAAGATATAACTGCTTTAGTTTCTATGAGGCACTATTAATCAGAATTTCAAATATTCCCTAGGTGATCCGGAAGGGAGAAGTGAGCTGCTGTTGGACCTGCACACCTTGTAAAGAGAATGAGTATGTGTTCGATGAGTACACCTGCAAGGCATGCCAACTGGGGTCCTGGCCCACTGAAGACCTGACAGGTACATGCATCCCAGTGTCAGCACAGTCCTCTGAAATCAGCTGAAAAACGATACAGTCATGATGTAAAAACATCCATACTTCCATGCATTTTTTTAAATGAGGATAGTCTTACTCAAGGGACAGAAAATTTCTCTGGAAACAAAAGCCTCCGCAGAGGCTGACTAATTGTGGAAAGCTTTTGATTTCCAGGGCAGTTCGGCCTGGTTTCTATCCTCACCTCCAGAGTTCTCTTGGTTGTCTATTGGACATACTTGGCCCATCCTCAGGACATCTTATTAGTTTCTAAGTAGACTGTGAGCTTCCTGCTAAGAGTATGAAATTTGTCACAAGTCCGAGAAGAAAAATATTTTTTTTAAAACTTAAATTGTATCTTTTTCTTAGTGAATTTTTCTTCTTGGAAACCTGAAGTTCCCCAATAAGCAATGCTGTTCTTAAGTAGGAGCAAGACAAAGCTGTTCTCTTTGTTTGAATTTAGTTTAATTTAGGGTCTTTATCTCAAAGGCTACTCCATTAATCCATAGTGTTCATTCCATACTGTATATTCATTTTGATATTTCCAGTAGAAAATTCCAAATCCCCACAAACTTCATTCCAACCCATTATCAAAGTACTCAATGCATATACTTACCTACAGGTAAAATACACAGAAACTTATATTATCCTGCTGTCTTAAAGAACCTCACATTTTAATGATAAAGCCAAAATACACAACCATAATTAATATAATGACTGGAAAATGAAGATAACCTTATTAAGCAAATCAAATAAAAAACAAACACAACTGTTACATGTTTATTCTCAGTTGTGATTCCTAGACTTTATAGAGACATAAAAGCTTCTAAACATAGAAGATATAGAAGTAGAAGCAACACTGTCTAGGACAACAGACAGGGCTACTGAGAATTGGAGGATCAAAAAAAAGGATACTTAGGGTAGATTTGGAATATGTTCAAAGTTCATGATATATTTGCTTGAAATTGGTTTTCTATATCTTAGTATAAGAACATGAGGCAAAAACCAGTACTCCCGGAAGAATGCCCACAAGGGATATGTTTATTGCTTCCAGTATTGAGTTGGATTTTTAGCACAGGACTCCTTGAAGATAGGTCATAAGAACATCAGTGTTAAAGTTTCTCCATTACGAGATAAGTGATTACCCATGACTGTTGTACCAGCTTACACCAAAGCCATGATTATAAAAATCCTGTGATCTGGAGCCTTTTGAGGCTTTCTCAAACGAAGACTCTTTTAGTGAGTGATATTTTTACAGGCTTCTTTTTCTTTAAAAGATCTGTTTTAATAAAACATCTAAGTGTTTAGTGGTAGCATTGAGTTCTGGTTTTGCTATTCCACAAGCTCTCTGATGTTCTTAGGCTTTCCAGAGTTGACTCAGTGCTAAGCACTTAGCCAAATACATTTTTTAATAGATGAATTATAATAGGTGTATACATGTACAAAAAGTTAAAATGCCCACAAGAAAAAAGATATTATGAATAGTTTTCTGTGGGTTTAGTGTGGCACAGTATTGATGATTTTTATATGAATTATTATTTTTCTAATTTCAAATTATTGTTGAATTTTAAAACTCTTGTAATTTCAACAATCATGCATAACTAAATACATTGTCAATAAATTCAATGGTCCCCTGATATCTATGTGGAATGGTTTCAGGTCCCCAGATAAATTCCAGACTCCTATAAATTAATCTACTTAAATACCTTAAAAATAAAATAATATCTACATAACATATTCTCAGTGACATATAAGTATTAAATTATCTGTATTTGATTTATAAGACTAAATTCAATGTAAGCACTTATATAAAGATTTGTCATAATATATTATTTAGGGAATAATGACAGAAATGTGAGGACTATACTTGATTAATACAGAATGCATTTTTCTCAATTTTCCCATTTGCCTGCAGTTATTTGAATCCATGAATGCAGTTCCCATGGACAGAGTCATCACAATGCTTCTCAGTGTTACTTTTTGTCTTTTTGCTCTTCTAAAATGATGCTCTTGAAAGTGAACATAACATATTGCTTCTTTATATCAATTGATACATATTTTGTTATGGTTTTCATTATAATAATGAGTGATGTAAATTAAATGGAAAACAAATATGGTTCTCATATTTGGTCCCAGTAGCATAGTCTTTTATGTACCTTTCTATGTTGTGAGGAGAAAAGGTACACACACACACACACACACACACACATACACACACACTGAGAAACTGCAATATAAGCAAAATAATAGTAGATAGAAATGAAAATATTAGAGAAAAAATAGAGAACACATAAAGTTGTCACAAATTATTTCTGTAATAAAATGACTTATTATGAATAAAGCTGTTATGAACATAGTTGAACAAATGTCTCTGTGGTAGGGTAGACCATATTTTGGGTATATGCCCAGAACTTGTATAACTGTGTCTTGAGGTGAATCTGTTCCCGATTTTCTGAGATTGATTTCCACAGTGGTTTTTCAAGCTTGCACTCTCACCAGGAATGGAGGAGGGTTCCCCTTTCTCCACATCCTCTCCAGCATATACTGACACTTGATTTTTTTATCTTAGCCATTCTGATAGGTGTAAGATGGAATCTCAGAGTCATATTGATTTACATTTCCCTGATAACTAAGGATATTGGACATTTCTTTAAACCATTAGCTATTCCTCTGTACCCCATTTTTTAAATTTGATTGATTTGTTGTTGTTTAATTTCTGGAATTTTTTATGTATTTTGGATATGAGCGCTCTGTCAGATGTAGGGTTGTTGAATATCTTTTCTAAATCGTTCAGCTGCCATTTTTTCCTATTGACAGTGTCCTTTGTCTTGCAGAAACTTTTCAGTGTCATGAGGTCCCATTTAATTGTTCTCAGTGCCTGAGCTTTTGGTGTTCTCTTCAGAAAGTTGTCTCTTATACCAATGAGTTCAAGTCTATTCCTCACCTTCTCTTTTATTAGATTTAGTGTATCTGGTGTCATGGTGAAGTGGACTTGGACTTGAGTGTTCGGCAATGTGGTAAATATGGATGTATTTGCATTCTTCTGCATGTATTGGATCCCTTTACTGTAGCTGGACTGCCTTGTTAGGCCACAGTAGGAGAGGATGTGCTTAGCCTTGTAACAACATGAGGTGCCAGGATGAAGTGATACCATTTGCAGGCCTCCCTTTCTCTGAGAAGAAGGAAATGGGGGAATGGAAAGAGGGAGGGACAAGGGTATGACTGGGAGGAGAGTACAAATGTAGAAGTGCTTGTATTTGCCAGTCCAAGATCATTCCCACCAATCTGATAATGGCTCCTGCAGAAACATCAAGCTTTCTGCCCAGGGCTCTTTGCACACTGTTTAGTACTCCCTTAAGCAACAGGATGTAACAGCCAACACCAGAGACAAAGAGATGTCTAAAGAACAATGTGAAAACACAATCAACTAAAGCCAGAACAATATCGCTTTCCCAGAACTCAGCTATCAAAAGCCAATCAGCCCTGGATATCCTAAGACAACTGAAACACACGAAAATGGCCTTAAATATATACTTACGAAGAATGATAATTGAGGAAACAAATAAAGTAAGTAAAGAAATACAGGAAGATAATGAAAAGAGATTGAGGTCTTTAGAGAGAAAATAAATAAATCACTGAAACAAATACAGCTAAGTACAAACAAATAGGTAAAGGAATTAACAAATCATTTAATGAAAGGCAGGAAAATACAAACAAACAGGAGAAAGAAATGAATATGAAAATAAAAATATTAAAGAAAGCACAAACTGAAGAAATTCTGGAGAGGGAAAACTTAGGGATGGAAATAGGAACTACAGAGTTAAGCATCACCAACAGAATATACGAGATGGAGGAAAGAATCTCAGGTGTAGAAGATGAAGACACAATGGAAGAAATTGAAGCATTTGTCAAAAAAAATGTTAAATCCAAAAAAATTTCTGGCTCCAAACATCCAAGAAAATAAGGATACCATGAAAACATGAAATCGGAGAATAATAGGAATAAAAGAAGGAGAAGAGTCCTGGCTGCAAGTACCAGAAAATATTTTCAACAGAATCATAGAAAAAAAACTGCCCCACTCTTTTTTTATAATTTTTATTAATTACAATTTATTCCCTTTGTATCCAAGTTGTAGCCCCCTCCTCCAACCCCTTCCAATCCTACACTCCCTCCCTCTTTTTCTCCTATGCCTCTGCCCCAGTCCAATGATAGAGTAGGTCCTCTTCCCCTTCCATTTGACCCTAGTCTATTGGTTTTCATTTGGACTGGCTTCTTTGTCTTCCTTTTTGGACTGGTAAGGCTGCTCCCTCCTCAGGTGGAGTTGATAAAGAGCCAGCCCATGAGTTCATGTCAGAGACAGTTCCTGCTCCTATTATTGGGGAACCCTATTGGACACTGAGCTGCCATGGGCTATATCTGTGCAGGGGTTCTAGGTTATCTCCATGCATGGTCCTTGTTTGGAGTAGCAGTCTCAGAAAAGACCCCTCTGTCCAGATATTTTGGTTGTGTTGCTCTCCTTGTGGAGCTCCTGTTCCTCCAGGTCTTTCTATTTCCCCCTTCTTTTATAAGATTCCCTGAACTCTGCAAAAAGTTTAGCTATGAATCTCAGGATATGTTTTGATACCCTGTTGGGTAGAGTCTTTCAGAGGCCCTCTGTGGTAAGCTTCTGTCCTGTTTCCTGTTTTCTCCCTCTTCTGATGTCCATCTCATTTGCCTTTCTGAATAAAGATTGAACATCTCACCAGGGTCCTACTTCTTGATTAGCTTCCTTTGGTGTAGTGATTTTAGTATAATTATCCTATATTATATGTCTCTATCCACTTATAAGTGAGCATATACCATGTGTGTCTTTCTGCTTCTGGTATAACTTATGCAGGATGATAATTTCTAGATCCCACCATTTTTTGCCTGTAAATTTAATGATTTCCTTGTTTTTAATTGCTGAGTAATATTCCATTGTGTAAATGTACCACAATTTCTGTATCCA